TTATTTATTATGTGATTGAAATTAGATATTTTAATATTATTAATGCTAAAACATCTTAATTTTTAATTTTTCGTTTTTAATTAATAAATATAAAAGTTATTTTAAACACATATTAATTTATTATAAATAATATTTAACTTAACATCAATTAATATTTTTTAAAATAAACACTATAAAAACAATTGATTAAATCTTCATTAATTTCTTTTTTATCTTTACATCCATAACTAAAACTATTATGTATTCTTTTTTTACTCCTAATTTGTCTCATCTCTCTCTCGAATGCTCATAGGGGTGGGCCTTTTCCACTAAAATCGACCGTGTATCTGGAACCGCTGGTAATCGCAACAGACGATGCGGTGTGAAACGGGTTTCGGTGGGTTAGGCCACGATTTCGGTTGCTAACCGAAGCCCAGTCTGGCGGGGGACGGTTTTAGGCCCAAGAAACCGTTAACCGCATTAGTAGGCCCAGTCCACCAGAAAATATAAATTATTTTATTTTATTTCAGCTTTCTTTTTGTCATTTTGTCATTTTTGTGCCAAAATTCCCGCCAATTGGGATTTGGAATTTTTTTGCTGTTTGACTTTTCTAAATCTAATCATCAATCCTTATTATTAATTATTATTAATTATTAAATCCTTATTATTAATAGTGCTTCCAAGGTAGCCTTAATGGGCTTAGTTGGCCCAAAACGGCAAGCAAGGAAGACGTTTTACTAAGATTTCAATCATTTCGCTTTCGTTGTTTTTCGCAACCCAAAAACTGCAAGAAACTAACCTGTTCCAACTTCATCTCCAATCCAAGTTCTGTCAGAAACTACCCCACAATTGCCTTTATCAATTTCTCAAAATAGAGAACTACCATGTTTACCAATGCCGTGTCTCTGGAGAAATTTATATGGCGTTCAAGTGCCTTCTCCCACAAAGGAATCACGAGTGCTTATTGTTTAATCGAGCAGTGAAACACCGGTTTCCCCACAGGAGTTGTCGCGGTGGTCTTTCTTGGTGTACGACTCTATCTTACCCGAAAACCCAAATTTGAATGGGTATTCAAACAAGTACCAAGAGGTCGGAGCTCAAGAACAAGTTCTAACAGAGAGTCTCCGCCTATATGGTAATCGACTCTGGTAAGTAACATCGTACTCGATTTCCTAATATTGTGCATTTTCCATCAAAGATTTCATCATATTCCCCACGGGAGCTGTCGCGGTGGTCTTTCTTGGTGTACAACTCTATCTTACCTGAAAACCCAAATTTGAATGGGTGTTCAAACAAGTACCAAGGGGTCGGAGTTCAAGAACAAGTTCTGACAGAGAGTCTCTGCCTATATGGTGATCGACTCTGGTAAGTAACATCGTACTTGATTTCCTAATGTTGTGCATTTTCCATCAAAGATTTCGTCATATTCTATTTGATTCCCCGATATTAGTTGTTTGAAACTTTGAATCATGAATGAATACCAACTTTTTAATTTTAATTTTGTTTCTCCATGAATTGATGATGAAATGTAGCTTCCATTTGTATTCTGTTTGTGGGATTATGCATTTTTAGCAATACCAGGTTGCAGATTGTCAGAAAGGCTCTCCTTACCAAAGCTAATGAGCATCGGAAGAATTACAGAATGAAGTTGGCCACAAATGAGGGTCGGGCCAAGTCAAGTTTGGGTGACTGAATTTAAATGTACCTGTTATATTTGATTTTGGAGTTTTTTTTCCTTAGAAATACGTTTTTCGGTGCTAGAATTTCAATTTGTTGATTGATTTCCATTAGATATCTTGCAAACGGTATTGTTACGATATCTTGCAAATGATTGAGAATAAAAGCAAAAGGATTTAGTTTGACTCCAACTAATTCGCATTTTCTGGGAGGATTCTAAATGATTAAAGAAAGTATAGTTCCAAGTGGTTTCTTGGGTGGAATTATTGACCTGTTGAGGTAAGTGTCATTCAAATGCATAGTTCACTGTTGCTGAACTTTTTTTTCTTTGTTTATGTATCACTGATAAGTTAAGGGGTTTAAATTTTAATATTATTTCAGATTGTTGGATTTGCACATGGGTTTACTTATGGCATCATTGACCTGTTGAGGTAAGTGTCAATTTTCTACCCATGGTGTTAAAAAATCTGCATGCTGGTGATTTATTCACATAATTGTTTTCAGTAACTCCCAACTGAAAAGGTATTACATTTATCTTCTGGGAGTTTTGCAAATTCACTTATAGCTTTGGAATTTGTTTCCATTTTGACCTATGTCTTGGTGGCTTTGTATTACCTTTCATATGTAAACTTGGGTATGCCTATCAAAACTCTTAGTTTTAAATTAAACTTTCAATCTTTCATATATGTCTAACATTTTATATGAAAAAAATAATATTTTATTATTATTGTTATTCAAAGGCATATCATTCTGTCTTTCCCTCTTTATTATCATTCTCTTTCTATGCCACTATTGTCAATGAATTATTGATTCAAAATGTTGAGAAACTTTATTTGATTTGATAGAATTTTGTACATTATTTTTCAATATGGCCTTGGTTTCTAATTTTTTCCCCCGATGTTTTCTTCTCAAGTATCCAATTCCACCTTTTGACTTTATTGTTCATAGAGTTACCTCAATGTTAGTGAATGTGCATAAATATAGGTTACCTCCTAAATCTCTAAATAAGAAACTAAATTGTAGGCCTTTAATGTTGTTCTGAAATTGCCTAGGAAGAAACTGTGATGAAGTTCAGAGTCAGTTTAGTTGAGCATAATTTACTGAACTTCTTGGCTTCTTTAAAAGTTATCCAAAGAGAGCATTGGAATTTCTACAAGTATTTTCTGTCCCCTTTGGATCTATCCTTTCGTACTTCTAAGGCCTCATTTCTAAAAAATATAGACACAAATTTCTCTTCTGGTCAATT